AGAGATTGTAGAGAGTGAATGAAATCTTTTTTACTGTTCAGAAAATGTCATTGGAATACTGCATTGCTTAAAGTAAAAAGCAGCATGGTTTTACAGAACAATGTGAACTCTTTTTTAAAAACAATCTGGATTTTTCCGCAGATTTTCCGCAGATTTCCAGTGGCCCCACTGATCCCTTATCCACTCATCACTAAGGTTAGTTTACATTGTAGGCTTTGATGTTAACTGTGCTGACTGTTAATTGCCGTATTTGTGATTCTTGTCCATCTGACTGTGTAATAACTTCAGGTTTTTAAGATTGTTACTGTACAAGTTCTATTTATTTACCATATTTTTTGTAAAACCATTCAAAACAAAAACCTTTTCTCTTTGTATGGTTGCAGACTGATTTTTATGCATTCTCTCTTGTCTCAATGTCTTTTAGGAGGATATAAATGCTATAGAAATGGAAGAAGATAAAAGAGACCTGATATCCCGAGAGATCAGCAAATTCAGAGACACACACAAGGTAGTATTCTTATTTTTTTCACTTGATACCAAACTAGACTTTTTACAGAATCCAAAGCAAACAGACAAAAAGAAAATCAACCTTACAGTAGAATTAATTTTAAATGCTTTTTGTAGGTTTAATTGATAATTAGCTAGATCCAAGCAACAGAAGACTAATACCATATTAGAGTGCTCCTTGACATAGTGGGCTTAGTTTTTTCAGTTACCGATTAGTCAGTAGTCATCTCACTTTAATATGAATGGAGGTTTTTAAAAAAAAAAAAAAAAATTTCAACATAAACATCAAGATCCGATTTAAATTAGATTTAGGGGGGCAACAAGATGACATCCACTGTAGTATATTTTCTGGGGGCAGTTTAACGTAATCTTAGGAAAACCTTTTCTTTAGAGCTGAGATTAAAATTTAAGTTTTATACTTGTATAGATTTAAGTTGAGAGGGGGAAATTTTAAAACATAGGTCAGTGGTTACCAGACTTACCAAATTTTAGATGCATGGAAGAACTGTAAATTCCCATAAAGCTAATCTATTCATTGACCCCCACCATTATGATAGAGATCATATGGTGACTAATGCAAGATGAAACTCAGCTTGGAAAGTAACAAGGAATAGGATGTAAGTATGAGCTTCTGTTTTTTATTATATTTATGGATGCCCCCTCAGAAAAATATGCAAAGGGGTAACTGGCTTGGAAATGGGGTATTTGTGCATAGTAAATCCCACTCACGAATTTTGCCTATGAAAGCTACTCTCCTTTACAGTGCAACTGTGAATTTTCGCTGGTGTTGAAGGTAATGCTTATGGATGGTGAAATGCAATCACTGCATGAAATATACTTTGATGTTAAAAGTAATGTTACTGGTTCTTACTCATCCACTGAGTGCAGCCCTTGACTCAGTGAAATGTTAAGTGTTCACTTTTTCCTTTAAATCAATCTTGATTTCTTTCAAAAGCCCACATTGACGTGTATGATCATTAATATTGCTGAACAATTATTCTCTAGCTACCCAGCCCTAGCTTAAATACACCGTGCTTTTTCTGGAACTGAATGTATCTAAAAGCACACGTTACTGTTCCAAAATTAATTTTGAGAGTTAAAGGGTAGTCTGTGGGAAGTCATTTTAGGTGAATGCTTTTGGTTAGGTTCAGTATTCAAAATTAGGGCCTGAGTAAGCTTGAAAATGGTATACAGTTGTGTGTGTGGTTTACCCCCTTTTTGTTGTTATATGTTAAACCCTGTCATGTCATTTGTAAATTATGAGGAAATGATGTTTTAAAAATAATTAATTCAAAAGATGTTGGCTTCAAAGTTTGAGAAGCTGTCAGGCATTTAACTGCCTTTCACTCGGGGTGGAGGGGGCGTGTTTTCAATTCCAAAATGTCCTTTAAAAATAAAACAAATCAATAAAGAACAAAAAACAGTTCTTTTTATTGGGGTGGTATGGTTAAAGGGGATGATTGGAACTTCAGTAACAAAAAAATGAGCTCAGTGAACCTTTGCATGTTTTGGTACGAGTTTATTAAATAACCACAGACTGTCAGGGTATCAGCGTGGCAGGGGGCGTCCATTTACAGCACGGACGAGTCTGAAGAGAGAATGAGGTAAGATTTACAATTTTTTATCTGTCCTTTTCTCTTCATTACTTCATAATTTTCTTACATCTGTCTGTATTCGCCACATTTCATTTTTCTTCAGGTTTTTTTTATCTTAAATATGTATTTGTATATATACCCAAATGTGCTGTATGTAACCATTTAGAAAAGCAATTAGTATGGACTAGATTCATTCACTTACTTATTTACTTGGAACAAATCTTTTGAAATGAGTCCTGAAACAAATTGTATTTTACATAAATAAAATTATACATTTAAGAAATAAGTAGTGCAGTGAGTAAACATGAGTGAAAAAATTCAGGAATTCTACAAATTATTATTGGAACAGCTAAAATAATCTGTAAGTATCTATTATCTCAGAAATAAATACATTTCTTTATTAAGTGTATGACATTGAGGTAAGTTTTACATAGTCTAGCCTCATTTTATAATACGTATTTTTATATTACATCAGAGCTATTTCAGAAATGAGATTTTGCCCCTATATCTTTTAGTTTCTGTCTTCTTTCTATCATTTCTTTTTCTCTTCCCTTCGTAACTTCAGTATATTCAGTATTGGCTCTGCCTGCATTTATACTTTGATAGAGACTGGTAGAGCAGCTGAATATAATAGTCTCTCATGCATTAGCTTTTCTTTCATAATCCTCTGTCAGTCCTCTGATCCATGAGGAAGAGAAAAATCTTAACAGGTAAGATTGCTTTTTAAAGTTGTTTCAAATGCTTTACATGACTGAGAAAAGAAAAAAAAAATGCACATTTTATTGTCGCAGTTTAAATTTCATTTCAGTGACACTAAACATGGAACCAAAGGGATAAATGTGTTTTGTTTTGTTTTTCCTGTTTGGAGTTTTTTTTTTTTTTTTTTTTCCAGTTTGTATAGAAACCGTGTGGTACGCTGGTAATCTTGTCAGGTTACAAACTTGGTCTGACTTTGTTATTTGGTTTATTTGTGAACCATGTACTTGCTCTTCCTCCCAGAAACATAGCTTGTAGGCAAGGTTAATCCAGTGTTGGCGGTCCATGTCCTAGCACAGCATCTGTAAGTTAATACATAATCGTTGCTTCCAAGGATGGATTTATCATTGTTGATATATTTTTTATTGTCTTATAGGCATAATGGGCATAAAATAATGTTGCTTTTAAAACTAAGTTAAATGAAAATATTACAGTTATGTACATTTCTGCTTGAAGTGAGTGATTTTTAAACTTTTTGTATTTGGTGGGCTGTCCATCTTGTAATGGTGGGAGTAAATGTTTCTGTAGAAAATAAAGCAGATCATGGCTGAATTCAGCTTGTCTTTCTTTTGGAGGGTGGGAAAAGCAAATGGCAGATTGTATTGTTGCTTTATAGTGACTTGTCTCTCCCTGCCAAACCCTCTTTGAAACACTGTAGATGAGAAGTCTGTGATTATAATGAGTATTATTAGTCCCACTGATTTACCAAAATTAATTTTTAGTTAAGTCCTGAGCTGTTGATTACATATCCAGAAATTATTGTGACCCCATGATTATTTTAGTTATTGAGTAGTCACTGAGTGGCCAGCTGTACTCAACACAATCTCCCAGCATCCAAGATTGGTCTATACAGAATATGGTTTGCACGAAATCTATATAGTCTTGTGATTGCTTCAGTTTGATTTGTCAAGTTAAAACCACAGGTATTTAGTATTAAAATACCAGTGGTTTGTTGTTTTTGTTCACAATATTGGGCAGTGCGCTGGGAATAAGCTAAGTACTGGAGCTACAGAATTAACTCTAAAAGTGCTTTTATTGGTTTCTAGAAACTGGAAGAAGAGAAAGGCAAAAAGGAGAAAGAAAGACAGGAAATTGAGAAAGAACGGAGAGAAAGAGAGAGGGAGCGTGAAAGGGAACGAGAAAGGCGAGAACGGGAACGAGAAAGGGAAAGAGAACGTGAACGAGAAAAGGAGAAGGAACGGGAGCGGGAACGAGAACGGGATAGGGATCGTGACCGGACGAAAGAGAGAGATCGAGATCGGGATCGAGAGAGAGATCGTGACCGAGACCGAGAAAGGAGCTCAGATCGTAATAAAGATCGAAGTCGATCAAGGTAAGGCTTAATAGAAGTTGTTGTTTGCCAATGGCTTTAATAGAACCATAGGTCAACAATTTTTTATAGGATCTTTTACATTTATATCTTAATACTTACTGTCTCATATACACATAAAGCATTGGTTAAACTAATGATTTATAAGTTCATGGTTAGTACACACCTGTTGTCCAGCCACTCTTCTGGGCAAAGAATCTTCCTGGATTGATGGACATTTTTCCTAGTCACCCTTTCATTGAGGTGCTATATACTACACTACTACTTTTATTAGCCCTTTTGTCTTTATTTGGTCCTACAGCTCACTGGACTGCCACTGTGTACTCCCCTGGCTCTAAATTTACTCTTTATTTCTCACTCCTAGAAATTTCACATTTTTATTTTGCGAACTAAGTTTCATTGTATTTCTTTGTTATAGCTTTTCTACCTGATTGTAGCTTTAGGTCAGTCTACCATATTGCTATAATTGGAAATTTCTTTTTTTTTTTTTTAATTAGGATTTCGGTGAAGATTTACAGAGTAAATTCACTTTTCATACAGCAGTTCACATATACTTTGTCTCATGTCATTGACCAAAATTTACAAT